CAAAAAAAAAAAAAAAAGACAAATGATAGTCTGGGGAATATTTGTAACATCATATGTGAAATACTCTCCCAAAACAAATATCCCACTAGAAAAGAAAGCATAGGAGCTAACTGGAGAATTCACAAGAGGAAATCTAAATGACCCATAGATATATGAAAAAAGACTTAGTTTCACTTTACATCTCCAAAATCAGAGTGGATGGGAAGCTATGAGCCCCAAATTTCCTACAAGTTCTAAAACTCTATGATCCATCCAAGGTTTACTCTTTTAGCTTCACCATGAATAAGGTACCAAACAGGGATCAAAAGACTCTAAAACTCTCTGACCCTAGGAACCCATCATGAAGTTGTGAAATAAGACAGCCATCCTACAGGAATGGATTGAACAACCACTAGTAGTTTGTGGGTCTGTGTGTGATATCGTGCTTGATGCTAGGTGGGGCTAGAGAGTTATATAGAACCTTTTCCCGCATGGATTTTATGATTTACTTGGAAGACACTAACTGAAAAATAAGAATTACAGTAAAATGTGGTGAATAATATGAACAAACAGAATATCCCAAACAGGCCAAAGGGTGGCGGGTAGATTAGGGTAGGGGTATCCTATAGGGTTCTTGTCAAAGATAGAAATTCCTGAACCCTATCTAAATCTTAGGAGTAAAAATCTTCATGAAAGTGCCCTTACATTTTTATTTTATTTTATTTTTAGCTGTTGCTTTCATCAAGAATGAGTAGGACACTAAGCGAGCAATCGGTAATGGGAGAGTCTAATATACAGTAAGTACTGGACAGCCATGAACAGCAGCAGTTAGGACTACAGGCTCTAGAGCCACACTACTGAGCTCACATCTCTGTTGTGACTTCAAAAAGGAGATGATGATGCCTGTGTGGCTTTGAGGATTAACTAAAGATAATCTCTGTAATATTAATATGGAGAGAATAGTAGAATTATAGAACCATTATATATTATATATATATATATATTTATATATAAATCAGGGTTCACTTTATGGTGCATGAAGTTCTCCTATTCTCTAAGTGTAATAAATGTAATCAATAATTGTTAAAAATTGCCAAAGAAGAAAAAATAAAACTGTTCTGTTCCTTCCATTAAAAAAAATAGAGGAAGATATAACAAAAAATACGAGCTACACTAGTATCAAAAATAAATTCTTTCATGTAAGACATGTTTTTTTTTTTATTCTAAAGAGTACATATAATTTGGAAAGAGAATGAGAGGAAAAACAGAAGACTTTGTACAAAAACCAAAGACTCTGTACAAAAAAGTGTGTCATATGTCACCTTATTTCTGTCACTAATCAATCATGCCCATTTGGGCAAGCTAGTTCTCATGGGGCTAAATTTATTTCCCAGTGATATGTGGTTTTGTGGTAGTCACAGTGTTTTTTATCCTATGTTCCAATCATAGTCCTCTCTGGTCTAAGGATTCTAGGGGTAATTGTAATATATAATTGACCCACTAGATGGCAATATATGGTTTTGGAAGTGAATATCTTTCAAAAGCCACTTAAAATGTTGCATAATAATCAAACAAGAACAAATTTAAGTTTCTCAAAAAGAAAAAAAAACCTGAAAGGTAGACATTAATTCCTCACAGATGTCATTATTGAGATTTATGAGTTAAAGAGAGAATCTAGGGCCATAACTTTGTGGTACTACGCTTACCTAGCATGTGCAAAGGCCCTGGGTTCAATCCCAATGCTACAAGAAAAAGTTGTATGAATTAAAAAGAGAGTAGACTTTTTTCTATAGTGCTCATTATAGGGACTTAGGGGATAGGAAAACATGGGGCTTTAGCTAAAATGCACAAAATTTAGTTATGTAAGAGAAATAAATCTTAGCGATTACATGCATAACATAGTGGTTATAGTTAATAAAACTGTATTGTATATTTAAAATTTTGCTAATAGAGTAGAACTTTTTGCAAAATTTAAAAATAGTAAACAAAGAGGGTAGAGCAAACTTTTAGAGGTGATGGAAATGGTTATGATGTAGACTGTGGAGATGACTTCAGTGATACTTATTTCCAAACTTAACAAGTTGTATCCATTAAATACGTATGTATTTTCACAAGTCAATCATGTCTTAATATAGTGATTTTTTTTAAAAAGGACTCATATAATGGATAAAACATGAGACTAGATGCTCTCTAAGGCCTCTTCTAACCCTGAGTATTCTATGTTAAAAATGAACATTATTAGCTAGAACTGGCCTGATAAAACAAGAGTTAACTGAGCAAGTGTACCTACTTAAAGAAATATATCCTCCATACCCTACTTAATACCTCTGTTCCTTTAGTTTCTATACCTGAAACCTCTCTCTCAGCACTTAGCACAGGAACATCAGTTTTAAGAACCCCAGCCCCCTAGCATACACACACATAAATACACACACACACACACACACACACACACACACAC